GTGGCCCGGTCACAGTTGATAGGCAGATCCATACATAAAGCCAGTTAACTGCTGATTGGTGATCAGTATACGCCTCCAGTACCTCCGAAATGATGCTGTTAAAGAGGCATTTCTAAGGAGAACGCCAACTTTCTTTGATTTTATCTGCTATTGGGCGAGAAATCGCGAAACTCAATCGTGGTTTCGAGACTTCTCAGAATGCGCCCCTTTCTCGAACAAGTCACGCTGGGACCAGCTCCAGTGGAAGAAGTATATAGCACCATTGTGCAGAAAGTACACTAGGCTGACGCGACGTTCGTCCCAAAAAACAGCGCGCACTCGAATGGACCGCAGGTTGCCAAGAAGTATTCAGCGACTTCTGGAAAAAATATCCCAATTCTTTTTCAAAAAGTTGACCACAGGGGATACAGAAGATGAGCTGGCATTTCGTAAAATGCGGAACCGCTGTAAATCGGAAATCCGCCAATGGAACACACGAAAACAAGCCACCATTCTGGACCTTGGTCGAAAAAAACAAAAACGTACTGTTCAAGTACATGAGACATAGCCGCAGAAACAAGCCATCCGCGTTCTCCTTGAGGGACGGAAACGGAGAACCGACAAATGACCCAACAATGGTATCTGAGGCTTACAGAGAACACTATGCGTGTCTATACTCAGCCCCAGCATCCTCGTCACATCCACTCTTGTCAAGGCTAAAATACGAGCAGCCTCTAACCGACTCGGTCCTCACGGTGGAGGACATTCGTCAACTCTTGCAAAAGATGAACCCATTCTGCGCGTTGGGGCCCGACGAGGTCCAACCAAGGATCCTGAAAGAAACGTCCCCCACACTGGCAAACCATCTATACCTAGTGTTTCGTCAGTCGCTTGACGAAGGCCGCTTTCCCTCTGCTTGGAAGGAAGCGATTGTCACGCCAATCTACAAAAGTGCTGACCGACTGTCGCCTGGCAGCTGCAGGCCTATGGGCCTCACTAGCGTGCCGTGCAAGGTGATGGAACGCATTCTGAAGCGAGCNNNNAGATTGCCCCCAAACCTATCTTGCCTGACAAACATGCTCGTGTTTATGGACAACTCAACCCCAGCTAAGGACGAAGGACTCATAACGGATGCCATATTTTTCGACTTCTCAAAAGCATTTGATAGGGTCCCACACGTCCCGCTGCTCCACAAACTCGAGTCTTACGGGATTCAAGGTAAAATCCTTGGCTGGATCAAGGCGTTCCTATCAGACAGATCATTCCGAGTGAGGATAGGCTCGACCTACTCTTCTCCACCGCTGGTCTCCATTGGAGTTCCTCAAGGCTCCGTCCTGGGACCAGTGCTGTTTCTAACCTGCGTCAGCGACCTTCCAGCCGTTCTTTGCGGACGACTTGAACTCCTTGGGTTCCAATGCCAGTGCCCTCCAAGTGGATGTAGACGCTGCCAAGCAGTGGTCGTTGGAATGACACCTTCCTCTGAATGACGAAAAATGTGTCCATACGTCATTTGGAGGAGACTCAGCGGTTGCCTTTGTTAGGTATGGTGAGGAAGGACCAGAAAATATCATGAGGATAGATGACAAAAAGGATTTGGATATCTGGGTCTCTTCAAACTTGTCCTTCTCACTGCACCATGAGAAATCGGCCCAAAGGGCATTCGCCATTTTAGGGATGATCCAACACACCTTCTCCCGTATTACTCGCACGGACTTCCAAACGCTCATTGGAGCCTACGTCAGACCGCTCCTGGAATACGCCGGCCAAGTTGTCTACTCAGGACACACGAAAGACGTCCCACTCATTGAGCGTGTCCAGCGAGCCGCCACGAGACTGGTTGTCGGCCTCCAATCCGTGGACTACGAAACGCGTCTCGCGATGCTTAATCTCTTTCCGCTAGAGTACCGTCGCCTCTGAGGGGGCCTAATTCTTACTTATGCCCTATTTGAACAAAGATTGCCAAACAGGCTTTTTACCGTTGAACCAGCAAACACACGGCGGGGATATAGTGAGAAAATTTTCAAGCTCAGAGCACACACATTCATTAGACAATTTTTTTTCATTTCGGGTGGTAGGTGCGTGGAATGATCTTCCTCCGGCGGTTGTTCACGCTCCTTCTAGAACCCAGTTTAAAGCACTATTAGACACTTATTTATGCGAATCCTCGCGCTGGCAAGCATACTGCCCCCCGCTGAGAACATAAAGAGCAGTGCTACACCCTTTTTTCACTCGTGCCTTCCAGGCGAACGACAGTCACTGACCGACAAGAAGAAAAGCGACCCGGGAATCTTGGGCAATAGCCTCGATCCTGCGTATAAATCCGTGAATCCGTGAACTATGTCCTTGACTGCTCAGCTGGGGCACCCAATCAAAAACCGCTGTGTCTAACGCCAGCGCTACCACGAACACTGTAGTGCACGGTGTCTGTCAGTTTGATTGCTTTATGTGCAAGTATTGGTGAAGAACAACCTTGCTTACTGGGCTTTGGCTCATGAGCTTTGCTTCTGTTTTCCATCCGCAGAAACTGTCGTGAACACCTGCCTTCGGAGAATCACTGTCCCCTGGTGCTTCCGTAGCGTGCATAATACAATACCATTGAACAATTACAAGTTCGCACCTGAGAGCATCTTTGGTCCATCGACTGACAAAAAAATCCTCCAACGTGTAAAACCAACATTGGAGGATGTTGATACGTTCATCCAAGTGTATCAAAGAATGACCGAAATTATTGCGGTTGATGAAACACTTGTTTCATCAGCCACGAGGTGCGGAAACCTGAACTTTCTGCTTGGGTAACCTTAAGACGTTACCCTAATCGGCACCACTTAAAATAATTGCGAAAAGTGTGGTGCAGTTGTGTGTCCATCCTTACTGAAAGGTATCGATGAAATGCCTGTCTAGTTTTGACTAATATACGCTTCTAGGTACAAGCAGGTTTCAGTATGTTTCAGAGTACTATTTGGTGGCCCTGTTCTCCAAACAACTGGGCAAGATGCGTAGAGATCAACAAGGGGCCAGACTATTCCACGGGAGTATAGAGCAAACAACAGTCACAGAGATTGCAAGCAACCGAGCAAGAGCTTATGTTAAACGAACTGTTTTTCAGTTGTTTGTTCACTGGATATTTTTTATATTTTCATTTGAAAACAGACAAGTGGTTCAAGTTAACACGAGATTGTGATTGCTCTACCTTCACTCAAGTCTAGTCAAGTTGTGGGTTATTCACCTGGAGGTGAATTTTCTACTTTCTACGATGTGATGTCCAGTTTTTGTTCTTGAAAATGAGCGAAACAGCTTCTTGATTTGTTTTTCTTCGTGTCACTTGACGTGTACTCTGACTGTGTGGATATACGCTACACAGTGCGGTTCAAAACGTGGGCCGCTTATTAGGACGCTGCCAATAAGCATGTGATTCTGCTGGCCTTGAGAGCGACACTCTTGTGTGGGTCACTGTATGTACTTCACCTGCTCATATTTTTCTTATAGTCTTGTCGCCTAGATTTGGCTTCTTATTACCAGCGTACCACTCCCACGAACGGCCCTAGAAGACTTGTGTGGCAACCGAAGGAAATACTGCTGAAATGCGCGGAAGCTCAGGATAATACCCTCTTGTATTTTGTATTCTGTGATTTGGGTTAAGTGTGCCCGATTCGTATGTTTCGAAGTCTCTTTTCAAGTGGGGAGGCTCGGTGGTTTAGCCCCATGCTGGGGTGTTGTAAGTTATTGTGCATTTTTTTGACATCAAACGGGGTTTCGTTTAGCGCGACCCGGTAGTCCACCAGCTCCTTGTCCTTCCGCGATATGATGCCGGCATTGCATCATCATCAAAGACAGCAACATCAGCGTTGGCACTGATGCTTCACTGCCGGCTTTGCAACGGTTTGGAAACCACTGTGTCCGAATTAGCATAGGCAGTTTGTCCCCCCGATGTTTTTGACATGACTTTTCTGAGTGTCTCGTGTGAGTTAAAGCGTAATGAATCGAATCCAGCTTACTTCCCAAAGTTAGAAGACTTCGAGATGGCTTAGTGGTTAGAGCGCGAATTCATTGACCGGCAGATCCGTGCTTCGAACCCGACCTCTGCAATTCGATTTCTCCTGTCTAGGCTTGGGCAACCCGTGAGTATCCCAGGCCTCGTGCTCCCTTCTGGTGGCATGACAGTTAGACACCGAAAGGTTGCTACAGTTAAACGGAAAGTTAAATCGATCAGCCGTGATGCCCTTGGACACCGTTGGTAGGAACGGCAAGATCGAAGACTGCCAGGTTACCTAAACCAAGGGGGCGGTAATCGCAAACCGAGGGTAAACTGAAACCACATAACCTTCGGTCATCAACTGCATACTATCACTTGGGGTTACTCGAGCTCAATGATAAAATTAATCGCGTCGTAGCAGGATCATGACATAGTTATCTGTCGTCTTCGAAATTAGAGTCGGGTTTTATTTCAAAATTTTGTTTTTTTTCAGCTATTCGGTGGCTTGCGGCACTAAACAGTCATCCTGCAATTTCATGTCATCTAGCGGAAACTGGTGTCTAATCGAGAGTGATCCGGCGGTTTTCACGGAACTCATTCGAGGATTCGGTATATCAGCTCTACCAAGCGCTTACCGTTTGATTCAGGTGCACAGGGACTAGAGTGCGATGAAGTGTATGATCTGAAGGAGATTGATCGTGTTTCGGACGCCCTTGGACTCATCTTTCTTTTCAGATGGGACGGTAATGATAGCGGTGATGGGCACTTGGTAGAAGATGCACAAAGCAAAAACCTATTTTTCGCCAAACAGGTTTTCGTCTACTTGTATTATTTGTATATACCAACAGGTTATCACTAATGCCTGTGCGACTCAAGCGATAATAAACATCTTGCTCAATTTGAACGACAAAGAAGTTGTTCTGGGTGACACACTTAAGGAATTTAAATCTTTTGTGGCTGACTTTGACAGCTCGGTAAGTTACCTTGTGTTCACCTGTGATTTTATTTACCACCCCTTAGATGAAAGGAACAGCTCTCAGTAACTCAGATCAAATCCGGACGGTTCACAACAGCTTCAGCAAGTATTGTTGAGTCTTTTTCCTCTCACCCCGTAAAGCTACCAGATTTTTGAGTTCGACGAAAAGATTTCCAAAAAAGACGAGGATGTATATCATTTTGTGGGTTATGTACCGATTAATGGCGTCTTGTACGAATTGGACGGACTGAAAGAGGGACCAGTTGATCATGGGAGTATTCCAGAGAATCAGTCGTGGCTCAGTTTTGCCACACCGATTTTACAAAAACGAATGCAACGTTGCCTGAATGGCAATTTCAACCTCCTCGCTGTTGTACCCCATCGCCTTTCCGTATACCAGAAACAGCTGGCCCAAGTGCAGCAATCCACGAATGGGACAGTAAGTTTCTGATTTCGATTGTGTTATCGGTTCTAGTAAACCGGAGCGAGTTTCGAGGCCTAGTGGCCCATCATCGTGCATGCACTAGAGCACGGTTATAGCGAACTTTCCGTTTCAACAGTTAATTTCAAGTACCAGCCTGCGCTGTGTGAAAAGATCTTTTCTAACTAACTTTCACCTAATCCCAACGGGTCAGCTGTACCCTAGCCCTACCTTATATTGAATAGCATGTACACCGGTTTACTGAAAGTACCGCTTTTCTGGTGGCTTGATTTTTTCAGTTTCTACGCTTCGAAAAAGCCCAAAGAATCTGATTGCGTTGCAGGTACTCATACTAGAGAGGGACAACTATGTGGGATAATTCATCGCAAGTGAACGCGATACCGAATACCCCGAACGTTTTACACCGTCACAAATTTTCCCGTCCACTTTCATGTTCCCAACCTTGAAGAAGTTTAGAGCGTGAGGCCAACATTCGATTTGCCGAATAGCCACACCGAACAGAATATCCGTACGCGTGCCTGAGAGTGAAAGGCCGAGCTTTATTAGTCCGCACTAGTGTCAAACTTTACTCGTGAGCTTTGCCCACCGAGGTTAAAGCACTTGGTTTGATCGACCACCGAAAAATAATGAGTCGTCTCATTTTCCATAGCCATTCAACTGTCCGCAAGTTTAGGTATGTATTATCATAGCGGTAACCTACCGTAGTCAGTTGATATGTAAACTCATTGTGCCAATGCTGGCACGCCACCCGTGACATAGATTTGCGTATTTGACCCAAGTGACCGGTTCCAGCAACAACCTTTCCTCTGATGGCTCAATTTCTGCTGTGGTGAATCTATCGTTGTTCTAAGGCTTATTGCCCATTCTAGCGGAAACATCTCGTATGTCTATGGATTTGTATTCGGGCAGCGTTACACTGTCACGTGAGTGTTTCTTTTCTTAGCACCGTCTGTTGGTGTGTGCACACTTGATTCTCTTCTTGTATTGCTTTTTGTAACGTAACAATACTCTGTTTAGACAAGGGTTGCTTTTGTCAATTAACTAGTCTTATCCTAGTCAGTGGAGGGGTGATATCTCGTACACAAGTTTGGAAATTCCGGAAAACTAGTGAATTTCTGGCATCATTTTCACACCGTTAGCCTAATCCTAAATAGCCGTATACATACTTTCATTTCGCCCGCGAGATCGTGTATTCCGGCTACTCGCTACTATCAAGATGCCTGGTCTTGCTAAAAACCTATTGTAGTCGTTCACGGAACTCGTCCTTTATGGTTGCTTTTGATAGGTGCGGTTATCACAGCCCAGTTTAGATGAGTCCATTTGTAGCGAACGGAATCAACAAGTTCATGCTGCTCAGTGCGAGCGTTCACATCAACTTTCCGACGACTCAGCACTGAGGATGAAACAACCCAAAGTGGTTGCTTGGAAAATTGAGGAAGTTTCAGACTCACAATCACTTAACGAAATCCAAACTGAACTACTTGAAGTAGAACTAATTCGGTCAATTCCAGGGGCTTTACTTTCAAGTCGGAATTGATGTAACTTGCATCGTGGGACAAAAAAGTAGTCAACGGAATCAACTTCACTGGTTGGCCGAAGTGCATTTGACAACCTCAAGTGGAAGACGGTCTTCCCTCAAACTTGCCCAAACGTAGGTACAATGCAGCTGGAACGGGAGCTGCAGAATCGCCTATCAATCAACTCCACAGTTGGTACGTAACTCGAAAACTGATTCAGTTGCCCCCAGACAGCACTCCAAAGTTCTCAGTACTTAGCCAAATGGCGTGCACTTCCTTCAGATTTTTTTCTTCAGCTGCCTGTCATCATCATCGTCATCAAAGACAGCAACATCAGTGTTGGCACTGATCTTCACTGCCATAAAACCATAAGATTTGTCTAATATTCACGGCCCTAGAGTAAAAAGAAGAGATAAATAGTGAGGGAGGGAGGGGACCTTGTGCTGGCCCCTGTTAAGCATCCTGAGGTGCATACACCTCCAAGCGCTCAATCAGACAATCTGGAAGGAAACTTACAGCACGAACGCCACTTATATCGATTTGCCACCATTTTTGGAATGTCTCCAGACAACCACAGTCGGAGTCACAGGGACTCCATCCTGGAAGGCGCACAGCGCCAACAACCACTCTTCACAACCTCTTTCAGGCCCTTCTGCCAACTCACACGCTATCCATCTCGCGGTTTGCGCCATTCTGAAGGAGGCACGGAGAACAACACTTGTCTTAATAGACGGTGTTTCGGCATGCGTAGCACATGACCGGGTCATCATGGTCGGTGGTGCTGGAAGTTCCTCCCAATTGAAGTCCTTGCCGCACAACCAGATGTCCATTTTCTGATCACCTAGTTACTAACACGCGGACGCCATCCAAAACAGCCATGCTTCTAAGGCATCGGTGGTCGAAATCCTAAAGACGCCTCAGATCATCTCACCGCAGAGGCCACGTCCCGCACCCGTACAACAACAGAGCCCTTGCTGTAGTCTGGTACGCCCGACCCTTAAGATCTAATGATATGCATTTTTGACGCCACAAGTGACGCAAATCGGCAAACGTGATTCGAGCCTTTGAGAATCTTGCATTGCCTTCATCAGACATTTCTGTCAGAGCTAAATACAACTGCCGGGGTATCTAAAATTTTCCACAATCTCCCGTGATTCTCCTTGAATTGTAAGGGATATGTTCGGAGACTGCACGTTCTGAAGCATGACTGCACTTCAGAGCTGCAAGGCGCATGCCAAAAGATGATATGATGGTGGTCAGTCTACTTAACAGAGCGTGTGTTTCGCCTTGTTCTTCCAAGATGAGGGCGATATCGTCTATGTACTCCAGATAGACAGGACTCTCACTAGCAACAATTTGAACACCGAGGTTTTGAAGTTATAGCGCTCGGCTTATTATTTCATCAATTACGAAGTTGAAGAGAGTGGGAATCCTTGTCGGAGAGCTCATCATTCACTCGCCCGCCCAGAAGTATGTGAATATAGGACTCGGACTATGTTCACAAACTTCTGGGGCATACCCTGTTGAGCTACAGTCAGTTGGGGCGTAAGCAGACACAATAAGTAAGATGCGATGGACCTCACTTTCTATGGCTTCCCTCACAGATGTTGCCAGACAAACCCCACAGAGGCGACTATCAACGGGTATCCAGTCAAGGCGCGAGATGGCTCAGTAGTTAGAGCACGAATTTACTGATTGAAAAGTCCGTGGTTCGAACCTGACCTCTGCCTCTCGACTTCCCGTATCTAGGATTGGGCAACCTGGCAGTATCCCTGCCCTCGTGCTTCCGTCTGCCATTGCAGCTAGAAGTCGAAGGGGTGTTACAGCTGAACGATTTTTTTTATTCAACCAAGCAGAGACGCTTCCGCCCCGTCGCTCAATACAATACCACCCCAGTATAGCCAGCTGCAGCTGCCGGAACCTGAAAGAGCGAGGAGGTAGTCAGTTCGATCAGTACCTGCGTCTTGCATCTCTGTTTCTGACGGACAAAATGCACCCAATGCAGAAGAATCCGGCTTACGAGCAAGAGCCGCCTGTTGACCTGCTTGCTTCAGTGTGCAAACATTAAAGGCTGCTAAGTAGACAGGGTTTGGTGTTTGAAAACAGACTTTGAAGTGTTGAGGATTGTAACTGAACTCGGACGTACAGAAACTGCAGCTAAGTGTGATGCAGAGCGAGTAAAACGGTCAGTCCTGGTGCCGGGTCCTGCGGAGAAAGTATTCAAACATGGGAAGGGGAGGTTGGAAGAGGGAAACGTGAAAGCGTAAGAAGGGATGCGTCAGCGGTAGCATGTTTCCGCTTACCCGCCCTGGTGTATGCAGCAGCTAAGGCGACCCAGCTGATGGCAATTCGCGACGGGCGGTGTAGCATGAAAGTATTGTTAGCTGTAAATCTCATTGTTGTACGAGGGCTGGGATACTGCTAGGGCGCTCACACCTAGACGGACGGACGATCAAGGTCCTCAACCAAAGCCTTGGGCTCAAAAGCCTAACCGCAAGGCAGTGGTGTTGGGCTGGAGATGAAAGTACATTACAAGTTTTACTGAACGCGTCGCCACTTATGTTCCACCTCAAATGTGGAGGGCCAGAAGACTGTGTTCGTCAGACCTAGAGGTCTGACCACTGGCCAAACTGGTGTACGAGACTCTGAGTCTCGCGGGGACACTCAATGGGTCGCCGCGGTACAATACCGCCACGTCACGGTACGGTCCAGTCTCTCCTTGCAATGAAAATGCGACCGCTCCACCTCATTTGTTCTCATTTGTTCAGGTATGCTAACAGGATCACACGTTCTTGTCCGAGTAGACTCAACCAATACGAAAAGGAACTTCGATACATGCGAAACGATGATGTGCGAAATTTCCGGTGGTTCTGATCCAACATACTTTCGTCAGTCGAAAAGACGGACCGCCTATTGCAGTTGTCAGGTTAGGACAAATCAATAGCCAGACCAACAACGCACGTGAAGCGTTCAGTTTGACTCAAAACAGTGAATCGGATGGTGTTCTGTTCGCCAAAAAAATTACTTCCTTGTAATACCCTTGCAACGATTGTTTCTCTTTTCCCATTTTTTCCTTATTTTGACTATTCTACTCTTGAAGAAGGTCAATAGAGTTGATCAAATCACCGGCATACTAACGTGGTTTAATTCTATCATTTTAAAATCCTCAGACTTGCCCACCCGACAACCTTTGTGCCTGTGAGGACAAAAACGCGCTTATTTGATGTTCTCTCATTGATGTGCTTCCTAGCTCTTCAGGTTAAATGTGTGTTTAATTGTTTAGGCTGACCGTGAGGAGCCAAAACACTCCATGAGTTATGTGTAATTTCAAATGATCTCAATTCCCATGTCATGGTATACACATGAGAAGCGTTTTTGTGTAAATTTGTTTATCTTCGCTCATCGAATTAAGTCTGCTTTGCTCATCCACATTAGTTTGAGATTACTGGGCATAAGAACTTACCACTTGGAGGTAGGGCT